TTGTACTCAGCCATTGACACCCCGACTCCCAAATGAACCTAGAGGATGACATGGGATGTTGGGTTGGAAGAGGCATTCTCCCCTCTTCTCCAGCCTTCAAAGGGAACCCTGGGCTTTGGATGCAAATGCTCTTCTCTGCACCAACTAACTCCCTGCTCAGTGTCCTGGCCTGAGCTCTGAACTCTGGGGTCTCTGGGGACCGAGGAAGCAGTTCAGCGAGGTGAGGGTAAGGCAGAGATCGACTGAGAGAAACCCAGACACAGATGAGGAACTGAGAAGCACAGACTGAGGGAGGGGGCCTAAGGAGCACATCCCTCCTGCTGCCGCCCCCCCAGCCCCCTCCACCAGCACATCTCTCTCGCTCTCCTGACTTCGCACTGATGTATTTTGAGAAACTCGTGAAAGGAGGCGAGAAAAAGGGTGGGGAGGGGATGGAAAACTGGGAAAAAGAAGGAGTGAAGTGCTCTCAGCTCCCCCTCTACACCCCCCCACACTGCGCCATCCCCCTGCCTCCTCCCTCTGTCCAGCCTTATTCCTGTCTCTCATGTTACTAAAGGGTGGGGTAACTTTGGAGCTAGGAGGTGATCTGCAGCAAGCAGGACTAATGTCAGACTTAGAAAGGACTTGAATGGCGTAGTGAGATGAACTGAGGATCAACCAAAGGTGGCATTGGGGCTGTGGGTCAAGGGCACAGGGTCTGAGGGCATGGGGGCAGAGGCACAGTGTTGAGGAGGCTGTCTCCTCCCTGCACTGTGGCCAGGTATTTTTAGGCTTCTCCGCAGCTGAGTAATTTCTCTGACTTGGAGCCAGAGCTGGGGTTGGGTGAGAGACTGCAGGGGATGTGTCCATACTACCCTGAGGGACACCCAGGTCACTGGAGTCACCACCCTGGATGGGAGGAAGTCTCTTTCAGCTCTAGCCTGTATCCTTTGGGAAGTCTGTCCTACCCCAGAAGCCTAATTTTTTGGACTGCAACTGCCTTCTCCCCCAGGGACCCAGGATACCCTAGCCTCTGCCCCCCCCAGCTTAACCCCCCTCAAGGACAAGGACCTGTGGGCCTCAATCCGCTTTAGCTTCAGATTAAACTCCCCGAGAGACAGAAAGTGAGAAAGACACAGAAAGATGGAGGTACCCAGGGTGAGGAAATACAACTCAGAGAGGCAGGAAGCAGAGATCCAGATAAAGAGGGGACAGAATCCCAAAGAAGGTGGTACCATAGATTCAGTGAAGAGAAAGACCCAGAGTCAGGTCCAGAGTCAGGAGTTTATAATAGAGACCTACTGACAGCAATGGTCAGAGAAGAGCCGGGGGAGCAAGCCCTGGGACTGGGATGGAGATCCAAAAAAAAGAGGGGACAGGAACCCAGAGATAAATGTGAAGAGACCCAGAGAGAGTGGTACAGAGACCCTCAGAAACAGAACAGTGACCCTGAGCAAGGGAGATGTACAGTCCCCGAGAAAGAGCAGCGCCCAGGGTGCCGTGAGGTGTAGAAAGAAATGAATGAGGTAATGGACAGACTGGACGGGGAGGACGGAGCTTTTGGAAACTAAGCGAGAAAACTGGACAGATGGGAGGACCCCCGACACACCACCCTAGGGTATTGCCTTGTCTGTCGTCCTGCTACCAGGTGGGAATGAGCATTCTCCTGGGACCCTCACACTCTTCCCCTCCCAAGACCTCCTCCAGGCTCACCGGTGCAGCTTCCCGAGGGCGCGACCCGCTAGCTTCCGAAACTCTTCCTGGCGGAACTCCATGGTGACTGCCCCTGACGCCGGTGCCCCCACCGATCCCCCCGCCCGCGGGCCCGGGCGGCCGCGTCCGGGCTCCCGGGGTCCGCCCCGGCCCGGCCGGCCCCGCAGCTCCGCTCGGGGGGAAGGAGGCTGCGAGTGCCGGCTGCCTGGGGGCCGTCACAGGACTCAGCACCGGGGGCGGGGCGGGGCAGGGGCGCAGAGAGGCCCCGCCTCGGCACACGCTAGATCCCGCCCCTTATATTTCAGGCACGCCCCTTTCCCAGCCTCCCACCCTCGCTCTCCGCCGGTGCATTCCAAGACGACTCCTCTAATTTCTGCACTCACTCGGAATTACATCGCCCCCCAAGACGCCTCCCGCGTTTCACCCTCCCTGGGTCCTTCCACCCAGATTTTCTCTCCGCTTCTGAATTCTCTTCCTCATCCTAGATTTGGCTCCCCACTTCAGCGCCCCCCGAGTTCCCTCCTGCACTTTCATCCCCTGGATTCCATCCTTCCACTCCCGTCCCTCACTGCTCCTGTAGCCCACTTCCACCTCGCCCCGAATTCGGGCCCCCACTCCATTCACTCCCATCCCGCCCCATCTCCGGGTCCAGCGTTCTCACACAGACGTCGTTTTCCTCTCCTTTAGGGAATTCTTTCTCTCGGTTCCCGCCCCTTCATCCATTCACACATTGTCCCCTCCAGTTTCACTCCACCCAATTTCTTCACCCTTGGGTTCCATTCCTTCCCCCCGCCCCCCGAATCCCGCAGCCTCTCAGTTCTACTTCTCCGCCCGCCTCGACCCTCTCCCAGTTCCTTCTCTCCCCGAGTTTCATTCCACCCTCTGAATTTCATTCCTTACTGTTATGTCCGCCCCCATCGCCCGTAGAGACCTCCGAGGTTCTCTCCCTCCTCGGTGTTCTCTCCCCACGCCCCTGGAATGGCTGCGCTTTGGGCTCGCTCCTAGCTCCCCGGGATCTACTCGGCTCTTTAGGTGGTGTCCTCACGGGTTGAACTCGGGCTCCGCCTGCGTCCCCGCCCCCTAGGTACCCCCGCCCTCAGAGTTCTCTCGCTGCCTTCGGGGATCGGTCCCCTTCCCCGGAGCCTGTCCTCCCTGGGGTCGGTCTCGCCCGGAGTTCTGCCTTGGCCCGGGACTGTCCCCGCCCTCCGAGTTCTGCCTCCACCCTGGATTCCAGCCCCGCCCCTGACAGTTCTCCAGCCAGCCCCTCTGGGCTGAGTGTACGTCCGGATCCAGGCTCCAGCTGGGTGCTCCTTTCCCCACCGCCTCCCCGCATCGGGTCGCAAATGCATTTGAGATTAAATTTTCATGATGCGGCCAGCGAAGAGGTGAGAGGAGCAGACGGCGCGGCGGGCGGGCGCCGACAAGCCGGGAAACCACCGACCACCGTGTCCTCTGGCCTCCAGGAGGGACTGGCTGGGCCTCTGGTTCTCACAGTTTTGTCTGTGCTTGACAAACCCCCGGATCCCCGGGAGAAGACTGAGTCGGAACTCCTGGGTCCGGGGAGAAGCGGCGAAGCCATTCAGACGCGCCACCCTGTGGTAGCGAGTCCGGGGCTGGGAGCGGAGGCGGCGGCCGGGGCTCGCGGCCAGGTGTGAGGGAGGAGCAGATGGTGCAGGGGAGGGAGTGGGAAGGGGGCCCCGTCGCTGCCAAATCCTGGCCCTCGCCGGAACCATCACCATGGAGACCAAGGAAAGAGGAAAGGACGCAGCTCCACACTTTTTCCAGACGTAGGAATGAGTTCCTCGGCTGCTGAGGGAAGGTCCCCATCCGAACTACAAGTCCCAGAGGCGCTGGACCTCAGGAGAGTTCCATCTGACCCCATTTCTGCTGGGGAAGGGCAGTTGGGAGATGTAGTCCTTGGAGCCAAACTGATGAGGGTGCGTTGCGCCCTCTGGTGGACACAGCAGCCACATTCGCTTATTCACTCTGGGGCCACAGACCTATCTGAGGGCTACTCCCTCCAGCCCCAGCTCACTTGGTTCCCGCCACACTGGCCTCCTCCCTATTCTTCCAAAATTTACCAATGAGGTTCCTCCTCTTATTTATCCTCCTAGTGTTTACTATGGAAGCAGAGTGTTGGTAGTAATTCATTAACAAACACTGAGTTCCTACTAAGAATCAGGCATTGTCGCACTGAGAATTCAACTCAGCCAGGGAAGATCAAAGTATAAAATCTGAAAAAAAATTTCAGGCAATGTTCCAGAAGGATGTGGGTGGCTAGGATGTAGCTCAGTGGTGCTGGATGAGCTTAGCATTCCAGTGGCCCTGGGTTCAATCCCCAGCACCAAAAAAGGGCCTCTGGGACAATGCATGTGTGGGAGGGTGGAGTGGAGAGCACATCTCCAACACAGGAAACAGCACTTGCAAAGTCAGGAGGCAGAGGACAAACTGATGGCTTGAAGTCTCAGAGTTTGGTGTAATTGTGATATGGAGCAGGGTTCCAGGAATGGGAAGCCCTCAGGTGAGGGGCAGGAGGCACTAGAGACAGTGAGATTGCCAACAGCCAACAGCCTTTTCTTTACATTTGGTTGCACGGGGAGAAATTCTGGTCAGGAAGTGCCCCCTTGAATGCATAACCACTGAATGGGAGCTGAAGAGAACTGAAAACTGGCAGATGAACTGGAGGATGCTAAGTGGAAGTAACACAGATGCCAAGAGAAGGTGGGAATAAAGGGTGTGGCCACTATCAGTGTGCCCAGGACCCAACAAGAAGAGATCATATGGAGGCAGGAAGCGGGCCAGGCCACACAGAGCCTTGACCTTCTCCTGAGGGCTCTGGGGAGCCAGAGGGCTATGAACCAGAAAAGAACAGGGTCAGCTCAAGACGAATGAAGAGAAAGAGAGAACAGGAGGCTGGGAAGGGGTCCATGGGAAGAGGATGAGGCCTGAGCTGGGGTGGGGACTCTGGGACTACAATCCAACGTCCCTCTTCTCTCCCGGCTTCTTGTGTGTGTGTGTGGTGCTGGGATTGACTCCAGGGCCTTGTACATTCGAGGCAAGCACTCTACCAACTGAGCTATGAGCCAGCCCCCTTTTTTTCTTTTTTGGTACTAGGGATTGAACCCAGGGGTGCTTAACCACTGAGCCACATCCCCAGCCCTTTTTTTTCATATTTTATTAAAGACAGGGTCTTGCTGAGTTGCTAAGTGCCTTGATAAGTTGCTGAGACTGCCTCAAGATCCTCCTGCCTCAGCCTCCCGAGCGGCCCTCCCATTCTTCACCCCACATATACCTAGCCAGAGACAGAACAAAGGCAAATATCTTTTATTTCAAGCTAGAGAAGCCACCAGCCTTTGCTCTACATTTGGATGCACGGGGAGAAATTCTGGTCAGGAAGGCACCGACAGAAGGGGCATGGCCACCATAAGTTGCTGAGAGAGTAAAAAGAATGAGGACTCAGGACCTGGAAGTCAGCCCCCTAGCCCCTTCTCCCTCAGACCCAAGGGTCCAGGCACCCCATGTCCCAGCTTCCTCAATCCCCTCCCCCAGGTACCTTTCTCTTCCTGTGAAAGGCTGCCTTGCTCTCCTCAGAGTTGATCCGCAAGGGGATATAAGCATCCAGGTGATACAGCTGCTGGGGGGCCCCCATCACCAGGCGGTTCTCCCCGATCTCCAACGACAGCCCCAGGGCTCCATCCTGCAGATGTGTGTAATCAGCTCACCCTCTTCAGCAATGGGACTATAATAACATGGCCCCAAAACAGCAGCCTCACATATTGGGAAACTACATTCAAGGGGCCATAGCATGTCTGAGGCCCTGGTTTTAATTCTGAGTACACACAACTCTCTCTGTCTCTCTGTCTCTGTCTCTGTCTCTCTCTCTCTCACACACACTCACACGCACACACACACCCCTATCTCCCAGAAAAAAGGCAAAAGACAGTAATTAAGGAATTCCCTCAGGCATCCTCAAGGGAGCAGCAGAAGGCAGGCCTATTGGCCTCCTGGCACAGCTTACACAGGGCTGGCAGTGCGCATCACCCCACCATTCCAGAGCAGCTCTGCACTCACCAGTTTGGGGAGGTCAATTTCAGCCAAGAGGAGGTCAGGCGCTTCCAGCCAAAGGTTCAGGTGAGGTTTCTCAGGGCTGTGGAAGAGCCAGGTCCAGAACTGAGGACAGCTGCCAGGCCTCTGTCAGCACAGGTGCCTGGCCTGGCTGCTGTTCCCCGTCTGCCTCCACCAGGCCCTGCTGCCACAGGATCCCCAGGCAAGAGCACCAGGGCAGAGCCCAGTGTGGGGAAGGAGGACCAAAAGAGGGGTTCGGTGGTGGAGGGGAGTCTTGAGGGGATCTGCGAAGGCCCACCCTTCCTCAGCTGGCCGGGAGCTGGGTGTATATAGGTTCCCCAGCTCCTGGATCCGAGGACGCTGCTGGGAGCGGATGTTCTGCTGCGAGATGGAGCCCATGAAAGTCCGATTCTTCAACATGCGCCATTCTGAGGGTGGATTGTAGAGTGAAAAATCACTGGGTCCCTTTGCTCTCTCAGGAGGTCCAGCCCAGCTGACCGCAGGGCCAGAGAAGCTCTGCCCCTCCCTGGAGGCCTGGGTTCAGCCCATACCTGAAACTTTGCTCCAGGAAGACCCACCCTTCCCAGCATGCACCAATAAAGCCCACCCCAGATGTTCCAGGCCCTGCACCCATCTGAATGCCTGGGTTAGCTCCACCCCCTCCCTGGCCTCCAGAACCAAGCTAATCTCTCCCAAGGGTGGCACTCTGGGCTCCATTCCTTTCCCAAGGCCCGGGCCTCGACCCTCACCTGGATTCAGCTGCAAGCCATATTTGTCCTCCAGGCCCTCCCTGGCGATGGTAACCACGAGCTCCCGCAAGAAATCGCTGTTCTACATTGAGAAAGAGAAGAGTTGCAGTAGGGCTGAGGGCTGGAGGGAGAGGCCCCTACCCAGGCCTTACCCACAATTCCACCAACCTGCATCCTCCGGTAGAAGTCACTGTTGACAGCCACATCGTAAGCGGTACAGCCCTGGCCTTCTGCGGGGAGAGAAAGTGGATGAGATTCCTCCAGCCCCCCAGAGTAACCCCACAGCCCAGGCACAGGCAAAGAAACACCAACCAGGGATAGCAGCCACAGGGACCAAAGATAGAGACATCAGGGAGTGACAGTTCAACACACAGTCCAGTGGACTCTCAAACTGGCGTCCAGTCTTCTAGCCTCTCACCACTGGTTCCAAAGATCATGTCCCCAGGGCAGACCCTACCCTTCCCCAGCTAACAGCCCTCAAGTCAAGGTCTGAGGCCTCCTGCCTGGTTTTGCGTGGCAGGCCCTGTGCCGTGTATCCCTCCAACCTCTAGGGAGAAGCTTATTCCTCCTCAGTAACCTCAGCCTTTTCAACTTCTTTCATTCTTGATTACTAGCCAGTGCAATTTAATCATTCCATCTCCAGCACCTCTAAAATCCTGTCCCTTAAAATCTTATATCAAGAAGCCTCCCTCCAGGCCACTGAAGAGTCCCTTAGGGCTGCATCTCCTCCAAAGCAGCCCAAATCACGCCACACTGAAATAACATCCATCCCTGGGCACAGTGGCGCCTGCCTGTAATCCCAGAGGTTTGGGAGGCTGAGACAGGAGATCTCGAGTTCAAAGCCAGCCTCAGTAATAGGGAGGTGCTGAGCAACTCAGTGAGACCCTGTCTTTAAATAAAAAATACAAAATAGGGCCGGGGATATGCCTCAGTGGTCAAGTGCTCCTGAGTTCAATCCCAGATACCCAAATAAATAAATAAATAAATAACACCCATGCCCTCTGCCTGTAGCCATGACTGGGAGTTTCTCAAGGGTGAGATCTGGGTGTGATAACTCCCATTCCTCTGGCACTGCCCAAAGCTTAGTCCCGGGCTTCTGGAGACACATGTGAATTGCAGAAAAAGATACAGAGGCAGAAACAGAGACAAGACAGAGGTGGAGACGGGCAGAGAGAAAACCACAGACAAAAGAGTGAAAGCTGGCCTGGGACTAAGGCCAGAGAATGAGCTGATGAGTGTAGAACCCTCTGCCCACCCCTCCCCTCTCTGGGCGGGGCAGGAGCACCAGCCTGACCAGGTGGGCAGAACCAGATCTCCTCAGGAGACTAGGGATGTGCCACCCACAAAAGGACTGGGGAGCAGATTTCTAGGGAAAAGGATCCTGGGTCCTGGATCTTGGGTTTTAGGGAAGAAGGGACTTAAGAGGCCAGACTCCTGGGTCCTCTGAGGGCACTGACTTGCATCTAGTTCAGCATGTGGCTCTCCCAGACTCATGGGGATGCGAAACCCAGCCTGGTCCTCCTCCAGCATTTGAAGCAGCTCGTCCTCGGTCACGTCAGCCGGAGGTGGGATGGAGGGAGAGTGACAGATGTTGATGAAAACCTTCCCTTCTGAAGAGTTGGTCTTTATGCAGAAACCTGTGGGAGTGGGTTTGTCCTGACCATCTGTCTCTGCACAGCCTCGGTCTCCATCCACCCTTTTGCTGGGTCTGTTTCCCCTTCTGCGGGGGCTCTTTATTCTTTTTCTGGATCTGTTCCCCTTCTACTTCCTAAGACCCCTGACCCTCTTGCTGAGTCTCTGTCCTCCTTCCACTGTGCTCTCCATCCTCCATCAGCTCTCTCTGGGTCACTAGCCCTAGTGACTTCCCTGGGCATCAGACACAAAACACCAAGCCTTTATACTCTAGTGTTTTGCTTCTTTTTGTTCTTTACCCAGCTCCCTGTGGTTCAGATGGGGATGCTAGCCAAGCTCTCTACCACTCAGCTACATCCCCACCCCTTCTTTCCTCCTTCTTCCGTCCCCTGGCCTCAGAATCTATACTTGTTCTCTCTGGGTCTCAGTTTCTCTCTGAGACTCTTCCTCTCTGGGTTTCTGTTTTTCTCACCAGCCTGAGGTTGGATCTGTGTAGATTCTGATCTGGTTGTCTGGGCTTGATGGAGTTCTTTGGAAGCCTGTGGAGAAAACAGTCTTCAGGCTTGGAGTCTGTATAATCAGATCCCTCATTTATTCCTTAAATATTTATAGAGGTTTTTTTTTTAATTTTATTTTTTTAGTGCTGGGGATGGAACTCAGGCCTTTCGCAAGCTAGGCAAGAACTTTATCACTGAGCTTATATCCCCAGCCCTATAGCAATTCTTATATATGAGAGTTATAGTTGGCACAAAAGCCGGGCTTGATGGTAGACACCTGTGATCCCAGTAGCTGGGGAGAGAAAAGCAGGAGGATCACGAATTCAAAGCCAGCCTCAGCAAAAGAGAAGTGCTAAACAACTTAATGAGACACTGTCCCTAAATAAGTACACAATAGGGCTGGGGATGTGGCTCAGTGTCCTGTGCCCTGAGTTCAATCCCGGCACCCCGGCCCCCAAATTAGACATTCTACGTCCTCCTCCTCCTCCTCCTCTTCCTTCGAGTACACAAAGAACAACCCCAAACCCATTCCTATCATTTCTTGGAACCTAGCAAACTTTAAGCCAAGCAACTACAATTCCCATAAGCCTGTTAGCTCCGTAGTGCATCCCGGGAGCTGTACTCCCATCTCTGAGCACCAAAACATGTCCCAGTTCACAGGGACCCAGAAGTCCAGTCAGTCCGCACCTGCAGCAGCAGCTCCTGGAACCGCGCCGTCTCATCATCCATCGTCTCTGTCTCGCTTAGCTCTGGCACCAGCAGCTTCGAGTCCGCCATGGCCCTAGGAAGGAAACCTAGGTATCCTCAGTACCTTCGACGTGGCGAGCTTTTCCCGGGATCCGAACTCTGGAGCCTGCTTCCTGCCCCTCAGTCGACTACCTACTCACTATTCTACCTACTTTTCTATTCGAAAACCTAAGAAACTGGCCTGAGGCAACAATTTCATTCTAAATCAGACACGATCCTGAAATCCTTTGGGAACCAGTATTCCAAGACTCACTCTCGATCCTACTTGCCAAGAGTGTGAACAGAAGCCATACTTCCCATCCTTTGTAGCTGAGCAACCAGAGTTAGCCACACTTCCGACTACCCCAATGCTCATTCACCAAGCAGGCAACCTTGAAATCACGGGCCAAGTCTGCAGCCACGCCTCTCCCCACTACCAATCAAAAATATGTCCTCAGCACGATGTCCAAATGCCACCCTCCCACCTTTGCCTAACAACCACTGTTGACCCGATGACAGCGCCTTCAGGCTTAGCCACACACTAGATCCGAATCTCTAGCACATGTATTTGGAACGAAAAGCTGCACTTCTTATCTCCAATGCAAAAAAGGGGCGGGAAGACACATCACTACGGGCCACCCTTCTAAACCCGGAGCCCGAGTGTAGGCAGGACACCCTCATTTCCGGTCTCCACGGCCTCCAGGCTTGCGCTCACATGTTCCAAACTACATTTCCCAGCGCCAGCCTGTAGGCGGGGTCACCTGCCCCCAAGGCGGGAGGTAATGGACGGGACACGCCCCATCCCGTCGCCCCGCCCCTTCTCGTTGGTCCCGCCCTATCGGAGGGGGCGGTGCCGCCCTTCGGACCTTCAGGTTCCTTCTTTTGGCCAGAGCGGCCAGCAGTTCTTCGCGGAAGACGGTGCGGGTAGGCGATGGCTGAGACGCGCGCAGAGCTCCGCGCGCACGAGATCTTCACTACGCTGGAATACGGACCGGTGCCCGAGAGCTACGCATGCGCAACGGTGAGGACTTATGGCCGGCACTGCCCACTGCCTTCCCCTGACCTCGCGGCCGCGTCTTCCGCGCAAACTCCCGTGATCCACCGCGGCCGCAACGCAGCTCCGCCCCTTTCGGCTCCCGGGATTCCCGCCACTGCCTAGGACCCGGCTGCTGCTGCGGATCCCTAGTGGTTCTTGTGCGCCACCGTCCTTAACGCCCCGTGGTGAATCCTCAGGTCCCCTCCTTAGCATCCCTGTGTAGCTCGCTTGATCACCTGGAGACCTGCAGGACCTGCGCGGCGTCTCCGTGCCTCCTTAGAGGCTCCTTAATGTTTGTGGGGCTCGAGGGAGCTCGGCTCTTTAGATACTTCAGAACTTCCCGTAATTGACTGCAGCCCCAGACTTCCTCGAGGGCTCCCGTGATCTCTCTGGCTCTCAAAATACTCCAGGAGGTCCCGTGATGCCTCAGGGCCCCTTAAGTTCCTCTTGAGGCCCCTGTACCCCCGGGTTTCCTCAGAACTTCCTAGGACTCTCGTGATCCCTCAGGGATCCTCCTGGACTTCCCGTGGATAATTAGAGCGCCTGGAATTTTCTGTAATCCCAAAAGTCACGCAGAATTCCCTCATGGGGCTCCCTTGATCTTGCAGAGTCCTCCAAGGTTTGAGGAGCCCAGACTTTAAGGAGGAGAGCAGGAGTCTGGGGGGTCTGGAGAGGAGGGGTCCTCACTGCTCCTCCAGGTGATAACAGCTGAGATGGGAAGGAATAAGATCACATGAAAACATGCAGGAGCCCCACACATCCCAAAAAGAAACATATTGATATCGTCTCGTGAGCATTGCTTCTAGAGTGCTGGGCAGGAGCATGCCCACTTTCAAGATCATTCCAGGAAGCCCCAGAGCTCTGGCTTCCTGCTGTGGGTACAGGTTTGGAAGATTGAGAGGGCAAGGACTTGTCCTGGCATCTGGCCAAATGGCTTGGTGACTGACTGTCCCTGCATGGCGAATCCAGGAGGAGCAAAACTGGAGGAAAGACTATGAGTTGATTGTGCCATGTGAGAGCCCTGGAGTCCGCCAAAGCAGTGTGCCAGAGTCCAGTGCTACTTGGGCCTGTACTTCAGGACAGAAAGAGATAATTGAACTGTAGGAGCGACTGGAAGTGTCACTGTATAGATTCAGATAAGAGGATCTGGGACAAAGTACAGAGAACCCCCACACTTGGAGGCTGGTTAGAAATAGGATGTCCTGAAACAGCAATAATGGTATAATAGCTGATGTTTATTGGGTACTTTCTGAAGTGCCAGCCTCTATGCAAAACGTGATCTCATTTAACCCCTAGAACAATTGCGAGATTATTGTCATATTTTTAGTAACAGCGCCCAGAGTTGAAGAGAGAACTAATCTTGCCCATAGTCCACCCGCTTAAAAGAAGTGAAGATCTGAACTTGAACCCATGCGTTCTGAACCCATGGTTTCTTCCCCGACCAGCAAAGTTTCCAACCTTTGCTGTGGGCCAGGCTCAACAAATGTTTTCTCTTTGGCCTGAGCTTCCTTTTTTGAAAGTGTCCATTACTGGCCAATTATTTCCATGTAAACATCTGGTATTCCAGCTTGGCTTGAAAAAAAATTCCAAAATTCGGCAACCTTTGGCTCCAGTACCCTGACAGAAATCATCTGGGACCAATTGCCACTGTCATAAATTAAATAGGTTGTAAGCTCTTAGTCTCCAGCAGGCCCTCTTCTATGTACTTGATCTGCCAGACATTATGGACATTCTTCTGGGTTTTTTCTTTTGGGGAGAAATTTTCCATAGAGTAATAGGCACTCATGAACTCCACTGACCCATCTCTCCACTTGAGCAGTGATCAACACTTCATCCGATGTTGATTCCTTTTATCTCTTTATTCATTTTTTTCTTTTTAGAGTAAACAAATCCCAGATGTCATGTTATGTCATGTTTCCTGTACTTTTTTATTTTCTTTCTTTCTTTTTTGGTACCAGAGATTGATTGAAACCAGGGCACTTAAACATTGAGCACATCCCAAGTCCCTTTTTGTATTTTATTTAGAGACAGTGTCTCTGAGTTGTTTATGACCACACTAAGTTGCTGAGGTTGGCTTTGAACTCACAATCCTCCTGCCTCAGCCTCCCCAGCTGCTGGGATTACAGGCATGTGCAATTGTGCATGGCTACCATACATTTTTTTTAATCTATTTCTAACAGATAAGGACTTATTTTGTTATATAATCATGCCATTATCACATTTCACAGCATTAACATTCTTTAATATCTAATGCCTAGTTCATGCTCACATATCCCTGACTTTCAAAAATGCCTCTTTCCCTGTGGGCATTTGTGTTCGTAACCTTGGGTGCAGGGTAATGTGTTAAGAGGGTGCTAAGAGTTTGTAGGAAAAAAGTCGGAAGTATGCATTGGATTTAGCGACCCAGAATACATGAAGGGTGAGATCCAGTGAAGGCCAGGGTTAGAGTAGCATTGCTGGGCATGAATTGTGTGTAGTTCCTTTGTTCTTCACCACAGCCTTGTGAGAAAGGCACTTCGATCTGCCCCTGTTCCAGGGCCTTAACAGAGGCAAAGAGTAGTATATAACCCCCTGGTTAAGGTTGCACATCAGGAAGTATCAGAGCCAGCACTGAAACTCATGCTGACATCCAAATTCCCCTGGGCAACCTGTGTGTGTGTCACACCAAGTGCTCAGGTGGACACTTCACAGCCAAATAGGCTGCACAAGGCAGATCAACATCAGGCTTGTCTTCACTAGGGGTCCTCACTGCTCCTCCAGGTGATAACAGCTGAGATGGGAAGGAATAAGATCACATGAAAACGTGCAGGAGCCCCACATCCCAAAAAGAAACAGATATTGATATCGTCTCGTGAGCATTGCTAGAATGCTAGTCAGGAACATACCCACTTGCAAGATCACTCCAGGAAGCACCAGAGCTCTGGTTTCCTGCTGGATATTTATGGTACATTTCCAGTCTTCCTAGACCAGGTGCAGTGGGCCAGTCTGGGGTCACTATCTCCTAGTGACAGATGAATTTTGTCAGGTTTCCAGGGAAACAAAATTAACCTGAGGTCATTTCTTCATGGATGAGAAAAGATTTTTATTAATTTTTTGTTCAAAGTCTTCATGTCATTAAAAGTCCAAAGGACATCCTCCTCCCTGTGTCACTGGGAATGTAAAATGGCACAGATGCTGTAGAAAACAGCACTGTTAAGCATGGAATTGCCATGTGACCCAGCAATTCCCCTCTATAGCTACATGTACCCCAGAAGATCAAAGACATATATTCAAACAGTTTGGCACATGCGTGCTCACAGCAGCACTACTCATGAACCAAAAGACTAAAGCACTGTGAATGCCCAACTACTGATGAATGGATTAAAAAAAAAAAACTGTCCATACAGTGGACTAGTATTTCACCTTAAGAAGAAATGAAGTCCTGATGCGTTCTGCAGTGTGGATAAACTGAAAACACGCTAAGTGAAAGAAACCAGATGCAAAAGGATCACATCATATGATCGTATTTATAGGAAGTGCTCAGAATAGGCAAATCCACAGAGACAAAAGGAAGATTAGTTGTTGTAAGCGGAAAGGGGAAATGGAAAGTGCGTGTTCTGAGGATAGGTTTCCTTTTGGGTGATGAGAGTGTTCTAGAAGCTAGACACAGTGGCACACACATGTAATCCCAGCTACTCAGGAGGCCTAAGGTCACAAGTTGGAGGCCAGCCTTGGCAACTTAGGAGGGGCTGGGGCTGGGAATGTAACTCAGCGGTAAAGAGCTTGTCTAACATGTGCAAGGCCCTGAGTTCCATCTCTAGTACCACAAAAAAGGAAGAAAATGTTTTACAACTACAGAGAGGTGATGATTGCACAGGCTACTTTTTAAAATTACTAAAATAGTAAATTTTATGTATATTTTACCACACACACACACACACACCAAAAAACAAAAAAAAAAAAAAAAACACATATACAGTAACAAAAACCAAAAAAAAAAGGGGAGATAACAGGGGTGGGGTGGGGCTGGTAGCGTAGCTCAATAGAAGATCATGGGCCCTGGGTTTGGTCCCCAGTGCCAAAAAAAGAAACAAGAAGAAACTGATGGACTGAGGATACAAGTGTCTCTTCCAGAGGACTCAGGATGGAGACTGAGCTGCTCCAGCATGGTCACAGTCCCTTTTCCAAACTCTCTACCCCTAGGCCTGGCTGGATACTCAGGATCGGTGCTTGGGCCACTATGTCAATGGGAAGTGGTTAAAACCTGTGCACGGGGACATAGTGCCATGGTGGGACCCCATCTCAGGTAGGAGATGTCCTCTGGTCATTAGGGGAAGGAGAGACCTTTGTGCCTTCCCAGCTCTTTGCTTAGGCCAGAGGGCAGGGAGTAATCCGGGAGGGGCTGCTGTCTGGTTCCTCCTGGTGGTAATCCTGCTAACTGTGGTTCCAAGTCCCTACAAAGGCTTTTTGAAGTTGCTTTCTACTAAAGTGCCTTCCTTGCCTGTGGGAGGTGATCAGAGCAAAGACCAGTGACAAAACAAGCCCAAAGGGAAGCTGGGGACCAGCTTCACTGCCTGAGACCTTTTCAGGCTCCAGGCATCTTAACTTCTGTCAGTTCTCACACAAATGCCCCACATCTCTGCTCCCATCTCCGTACCCCAACTTTTCTCCCCAGGAGAGAAGTTGGCCACTTGCCTCCAGGCACAGAAGGAGGATGTGGCTGCAGCAGTGGAAGCAGCTAGGAACTCTTTCCTGAGCTGGAGCAAGCTCCCTGGAGCTGCGCGTGCCCAGCACCTGACCAGGTGATGTAGTTGAGGTGTGGCCCCGGAGGTGGGGAGGAACTGCATCCCCCGGCATCCACTGGAGACTGGAAATGGCTACTCCATTTCCCAGTCTCCCACTGAATTGATTGGCAGCTGAGTCTCATATCCCCAGCGTGCATTTGGGTCTTTAGTGGGCACAACATCCATTTCCCACCATTCACTGGTAGGCACAAAGCCTCTGTTTCACAGAATGTACTTGGGGTTCATCATGCCCCCATTTCTCAGCAGTTCATGGGGGTTGCTCTCCAGCACGCATTGGGGGCAGTTAGGAACAAAGATGCCATTTCCTAAAATACAGTTGAGATTAGAGAACAAGAATTAAGTTCCCAATATATTTTTTGGGGGTCACTGGTGGCCAAGACCCTTCCACAGCACTCTCAGGGTTTGAGAATTTCCCCAACTGCATTTCCCATAAATCTTGGGTGCCCTCTGCCTCTGGTAAATTGTGAGGGTTCCCCAGAGGCTCATGGGCATCGATGTTGTCCGGGGTTGGACCTTCCCCATACTTCCTCCCCAGGCTGGCCAAGATGATTCAGAAGCACCAGCGGCTGCTATGGACCCTGGAGTCCCTGGCGACTGGGCGGGCCATTCGCGAGGTTCGGGATGGGGATGTCCCACTGGCCCAGCAGCTGCTGCAGTTCCACGCAGTCCAGGCGTACACCCAGGAGGAGGCGCTGGCAGGCTGGGAGCCTGTGGGTGAGAACCCGGATCCCTGCACCAGTCCCCGCCTCCTGCGTGACACAGTGTGCTGGATCAGTCCTCTCATGAATTCTCTTTTCCTTGCAGGCGTTGTTGGCCTCATCTTGCCACCCAAGTTCTCCTTCCTTGAGATGATGTGGAGGATTTGCCCTGCCCTGGCCATGGGTAAATGATGAGCTGGGGTCCCAGCTCTTAGATCTGAGAGCGGAGGAGATTGGGGGTCTGGACTCAAAGGAGGGCTGGGGCCTGGACTCCTGGGCTTGAGGGAGGAGGACTGAGGGCTAGATTTCAGTGTCCTTGAGTTGTCCCCCTTCCTCAGGCTGCACTGTGGTGGCCCTTGTGCCCCTGGCTTCTCCGACACCCCTCCTCCTGGCCCAGCTGGCAGGGGAGCTAGGATCCTTCCCGGGGATAATCAACGTGATCAGTGGCCCTGCCTCCCTGGGGCCTGCTCTGGCCTCCTGGCCTGGAGTCCAGAAGGTGGCCTTCTGTGGAGCCATTGAGGTATCTTCAGGGCTGGAAGTGGGGTGGGACAGGCTGGGGCCTGGAGTGTCCTGCCCCAGCTGAAGCCTGCAGGGGTCCCTCAGGAAGGACGTGCCCTGCGACGGACGCTGGCAGGTGAGGGGGCTGAACTGGGCCTGGCGCTGGGCACAGAGTCACTGCTGCTGCTGACAGACTCGGCGGATGTGGACTCCGCTGTGGAGGGTGTGGTGGATGCAGCCTGGTCTGACCGCAGCCCGGTGAGATCTGTGCACTCATGTCTCCAATATCCTGGGGGACCACTGTGCCTCTGCAGACCTGGGGGACCACTGTGCCTCTGCAGACCTGGGGGTTTAAGTCTCTGTTCCCTTTGTTGGTTCCTTGGGTCTAAAAATGCTGTTTTTTTTTTTTAAGAACTCTCTTCATTTTTCTGAGTGTCCATGTTCCTACTTTTCCATCCTCTGACTCCACTCTTTAAGATCATCACTTTTCTGTACTCTTGCCCTGGGTTCGGTCCTCCCCACTTCTCCATGACCCTCCTCCTCCCTCAAGCCCAGCCCCCTGTGCCCTCCCACCTTCCCTATGTGGGCCCTGACCACGCCCATCTCCTGTCAGGGGGGCCTCAGGCTCCTTGTGCAGGAGTCTGTGTGGGATGAAACCATGAAGAGGCTCCAGGTACGCATGGGCCGGCTTCGAGGTGGCCAAGAGGTGGATGGGGCCGTGGACATGGGCGTCAAGGAGCCTACTGCCTATATCCTGGCCCGGAACTATGTGGAGGAGGCCCGGAAGCAGGGCGCACAGGTTAGCTCTGGGACATCCATTGTGGCACTGAGGTGGAGGAGCCTGGAGACTGGACCCCTGGGTCTGAGGGAGGAGGGCCTGTGGTGACTTCAGGTCTATTTCTCTCCTTCCTAGGTGTTCCAGGCTAGTGAGATGCCCTCAGTTAGCCCATTCTGTCCCCCAACCTTGATCACTGGTCTGCCCCCTGCCTCCCCATGTGCCCAAGCAGAGGTGAGTCCCTAGGGTGCCTGGAGTCCTGTTGCATCCCCTGTCCTCAGTCAGTCCTGGGCAGCAGAACTCCACCTGCACAAACCCTGGGGGGACCTGGGACCTGGGTCTGGGGGCTGCTGCCTACTGTAGGCTTGTCCCCTAATGGGTGGGGTGATCAAAGGGGGCATTTGCCCAGCCACTGAGCTTCCTGACACCCCTTTCAGGTGCCATGGCCTCTGGTCATGGCCTCCGCTTTCCGCACAGCCAAGGAGGCCTTGGCCATAGTCAATGGGACGCCCCGCGGAGGCAGCGCCAGTGTGTGGAGTGAGAGGCTAGGGCTGGCGCTGGAGCTGGGCTATGGGTCAGTACTGACACTGTCCACCGGGGCGCAAAGGGCAGCCTGTGAGCATGGTCCGAGCACCTCTTCTCCTCCATCTGCTGTCTCCCTTCCCTCTGGGCCTCTTCCTCCCCACTTCCTGTTTTTTGATATCTCCATCTCCACTGCAGGCTCCAGATGGGCACAGTGTGGATCAATGCCCATGGCCTTCGAGACCCTGCAGTGCCCACAGGCGGCTGCAAGGAGAGTGGGTCTTCCTGGCACGGGGGCCTGGATGTGAGTGTCTGTCCTCTGGTCACCACCCCTACGTCACTTTAATGCCTACTCTCGCCTGTGTCCATCTTGGACCTGCTGATACCACCCCTCTCCTAGGGTCTGTATGAGTATCTGCGGCCCTCAGGGACCCCTGCCCGCGTGCCCTTCCTTTGTGAGAATCTGAACTATGACACCTTTGGCCTTGCTGTGCCCCCAGCCCTGCCAGCTGGTCCAGAAATGGGGCCCAGGTGAGCCATTCCAGGGCTCAGTGGTGTGGGGAAGGAGGGGAAAGTTCCATCAGACTCCGCCAGCCAAGGGTGGGAGGACTGGAAGGAGGCCTGTTCGTGGCACTCCTGGGTCCCCAGGTCCTGAGCTGCCTTCTGGGTCTTAGTGCCTCACACCCTGGGCCTGGTGAGTCTCCGTCCTGCCTGACAACGGTCTGTGCTGGTTCACAAGAGCAGAAGTTGAAAGTCCCCCAGAGGCTCATGGGAGCTGGGGTGGTCTGTGCAGCGGGGTAGAGCCTGGGGTCTGAGCAGACCCAGGACCCCCTCACACTTCACTGGCACACAGCCCAGCACCTCCCTATGGACTCTTCGTGGGAGGCCGTTTCCAAGCCCCTGGGTCCCGGAGCTCCAGGCCTATCCAGGATTCTTCTGGCAACCTCCATGGCTATGTGGCTGAGGGTGGGGCCAAGGATGTCCGGGATGCTGTGGAGGCCGCTCACCAGGCTGCTCCTGGGTAAGAGGACTCACATGAGAAGCTTTGGGCCATGGGGTGGCGGAGGTGGTCATGTGGGACCCCCAATAGGTGGTGGACCCTGGGGCCTGGATCCCCAGGGTGGGGGCTGCAGACAGAGGTGGGTGTCTGGAAAGCACTCGGACCAGGACACTACTCCCAGTGTGCATTGTCCGCCCACAGCTGGGCAGGCCAGTCGCCAGGAGCCCGGGCGGCCCTACTGTGGGCTCTGGCAGCTGCCCTGGAGCGCCGGGTCCCCACCCTGGCGTCGAGGCTGGAGAGGCAGGGAGTGGAGCTCAAGGCAGCCAAGGCGGAGGTGGAGCTGAGCATTCAGCGACTTCGGACATGGGGAGCCCAGGCCCAGGCCCAGGGCCACACCCTGCAGGTGAGAGGGGTCTGTGGACAGAGCCGGCAGCCAGGCGGAGGGTCAGGGCAAAGGCTGTGGAATGAGCCGGGTTTGGGTTCAGGCCCAACTCCACCCCCTCCCAGCTGCATGGTCATCAACAAGTGGCGTCATGTCTCTGCACCTGTTTCCTCATCTGTGTAATGGGCATCCGGCCCACCTCCCAGAGTAGTTGTCCAGATTATGGTCATTGATGCATTACTGACCAAAATCTCCATTTAGCAGATGTAACCATGATGGCTTTTCTATTTTTCCTTTCTTTTTTAATTGGTGGTACTCGGGATCAAACCCGGGCTCATGCCTGCTAGGCAAGCGGCTCTACCGCTGAGCCACATCCCCAGTCTATAATGACTTTTTTTTTTTTTTTGACAAAAGAGAATAGAAGATAGGACATAATGCACTGCACAGAATATTGTCTCCTGGGATGTTTGTTTTATTTATATACATATTATTTGGTTAAATATATGTACGGGCTTAGGCAGGCATGGTGGCATGCACTTATAATCCCAGTGACTCCGGAGACCAGGGCAGGAGGATACAAGTTCAAGGTCAGCCTCAGCAATTTAACAAGATCCTACCTAAATATAAAAATAAAGAGCAATGGGGATGTGGCTTAGTGTTAAAGTGCCCCTAGATTCAATCCTGGACACACACACACACACACACACAGTTACACACACACAGTTACACTCACACACAGTTACACTCACACACTTACATGCATACACAGGTTTGATGGGAATGAATCATGGACCAGTGTCCCGGGGCACCACTGGAGTGCTCAGGAATAAGGCTGATAGAAGGATGCCGAGCCCCTTGACCTGTCCCCATGTCCTCCTCCGTAAGTAGCATGCAGTTGGACAGTTTTACAGTTGTGATCAGTCTCATGCATTTGTGAAAACTAACTGAGTTAAGCGATCAGTGCCTGACAGACATCCAAGGACTCCAAAGATGTCTCCTCACGGCCGGCCAGTGAGCACGGGAAAAGACCCTGAGGTGGAGCCCTGCCCAGCACTGATGGCACCTGGGTTCCAGCTCCGCACTGGAAAGGGGGGGGGGGAAGTCAGGTATGGTGGCACTTGTCTGTGATCCCAACTGCTTGGGAAACTAAGGCAGAAGGATTGCTTCAGCCCCGGAGTTCAAGGCCAGCCTGGGCTATACAGTAAGACCCCCACCTTAAAACAAAGAAAAAGTAATTCCTGGGTTTTAACCCAGGAAATGAGAGCATATGGCCATACAAAGATTTATATACAGATATTCATCATCATAATGTTCTCCACTATCTATAAAAACCTAGAAATGAAGCAACCAAAACATCCCTCATTGGGTTGATAGATAAACAAATGTGATACACCCTGGCATTGGAATCCATCTCTGGAGACCACAAATATGCCACAACATGGCTGGACACATGCCTGTAATCCCAGCCCCTTGGGAGACTGAGGCAGGAGGGTCTCAAGTTCAAAGCCAGCCTCAGCAAAGGCAAGGCGCTGAGCAACTCAATAAGACCCTGTCTCTAAATAAAATACAAAATAGGGCTGGGGATGTGGCTCAGTGGTCAAGTGCTCCATTACCCACCCCCTATGCCCCAAAAAGAAGCCAAAAGAACAAACTTAGAGTGATTACTCTGTGCCAGGGAGGCCAGGTTAGGGTAGACACTGAAGCCTGGAGGGTGGCTCGGTGGCAGAGCCCTGGCCTAGCATGCTGCAGGCCCTGAGTTCCATTGCCCACACAGAAAAAACAATTTTAAAAAAGCAAATAATACTACAGTGCAAACTGTAGGACTCCATGGCTATACTTGTCTAGGAAATAAAAACTAATCTCTAAGGGTAGAAGGCAGATCAGTGATTGGCTGGGGACATGGAGGGCTCATTAGGGTAGAAGGTGGCAGGTGGGGAGTAAGAGGCACAGGAATCGGGGAGAGTTCATGGAAGAGTTCATATGCATACTGCCAAAACTTGTCAAATTGTACCCTTTACAGTGTGTAGTTTGGCAAATGTCAATTATATTCAGTAAAGCTTTTGCAAAACACACACACACACACAAATCAGCCCACAGGCTGGGTTCTCAGCTCTCTGCACACATTAACTCATTTTATCCTAATAACAAATCTGTAAGGTTAGCACCGTGATGATTTTGAAGGTAGGCCACAGGCTCAGAGAGGTTAAGTGACTTGTCCAAGGTTGCATAGCTGGTGAGTGGCTGTCTGGCTCTGGAGTTCTGTACCCTATACCATCACCTGGCCATATAATATTGGGGTTTTTATGGAAAAGCAAAGATGGGGATGTGAAGAAGAAAGGGGCAGGTGACAGAGAAGCCTGTGGGAGGTCAGTCGGGCTCCGCTGCCACACCCTTGACCTGACCCCTGTCCCTCAGGTAGCAGGGCTGAGAGGCCCTGTGCTCCGGCTTCGCGAGCCACTAGGTGTGCTGGCCATCGTGTGCCCTGACGAGCTGCCCCTGCTTGCCTTTGTGTCGCTGCTGGCCCCTGCCCTGGCCCATGGCAACACTGTAGTCTTGGTGCCTAGTGGGACCTGTCCCCTGCTTGCCCTGGAGGTCTGCCAGGTACAGTCTCACCTGCCCATGCATTTTCCTGATGCTCCCCCCAGGTCTGCAGGAGCTCTGCTGTCTTCCCACCCTCTTTGGTAACCATAGTAACCCCAGTCCCAGCATCCCAGCCTCAGCCGGTGCAATCCTCCCCGAGCCCAGCAGCCACTCCCCGTGCACACTCCTGACCCGACCCCACTCCCCCCAGCCCTGGGTGGTCCACTTTCTCACCCCCTAGGATATGGCCACCCTGTTCCCTGCTGGCCTCGTGAACGTGGTGACAGGAAATCGGGACCACCTGACCCGCTGCCTGGCCTTGCACCAGGACATTCAGGCCCTGTGGTACTTCGGATCTGCTCAGGTACCCTTCTGGAAGCACCGCCCACGCCCTGAGCACTCCTGTTGTTAAAGGCAACCAGGGTCAGTGGTTTGTCCCTTTAGAACCCTGGTTGGTAAGAAAGAGGATCTCCTTAGCAACAAAGACATCGGTTGACCTGTTGCTAAGGATCACACCCTGGCAATCGAGTCAGGTCCAAAGTCTACCCTCTTAAACATCCCTTTGGCAACCCGTGGGAACTCCCAGTCCACGGGGCCTGGAGCTCATTCCTTTGAGCGTGGGCGTTGAAGAGGAGGAAATTCCCTAGCCACGGGGTCAGCCTCTTTCCCTCTGCATCTGGAGGGCTTGTTTGCTAGGAGCCGAGCATCCAGCTAGGTCAAACCTTGAGGTCTCTCCAAAGAATCCTCATTGCTAAGGAAGCAGCTGCTTAGCAACCAAGCCTCTGGCAGTGCTAATCCTGTCCTGTCCCCATCCCAGGGCTCCCAGTTTGTGGAGTGGGCCTCAGCAGGAAACCTCAAGCCTGTGTGGGTGAACAGAGGCTGCCCGCGGGCCTGGGATCAGGAGGCCGAGGGGGCAGGCCCAGAGCTGGCGCTGCGGGCAGCACGGACGAAGGCCCTGTGGCTGCCCATGGGGGACTGATGTGTGAGTGCCATGCACCCCACCTCAAATGCAGAAGAGATGGATTCCAGCAGAGGCCAGATGCCTGGAACGGTCCTCTCGTGGTTCCTGGGTCCCTCAATAAACTGTCTGACCTGACCTGCTGTGTTTCTGAGGGAGGAGGGGACAGCAACTCTGATTTGTATGAACCCCTCCAGTTGAGCATCACAGTGGGTGGCTCCAGGACAACACAGCACTTGTGAGACAGGGCAGTCTGAGGGGGCAAAAGGAGGAGTCAGAGGGAAGTCCCTGGAAGGCTCTGTTCCCGTGGGTGGTGTCAGGGTCCTTCCCGTTAGGTCTCCCATTGCTTACCCTGGCCAGAGCCAAGTGTGCAGGCAGGTCTGAGCCACAGCGTCTCACGACAGGGAAATCTAATTGGCCAGCCTGAGCCAGAGGTCTGCCTCCGTCCAGGCTCTCCAGACAGCAGATCAACGTGCCGGTTGCCACCTCAGGTCAGCCATGTTCAGGGCACCGGGGGAGGCAAGTGCCAACAACGAGGCAGCACCAGCCGCCCAGAGCCCATGTGCTGGTGACAAAGGTGTGTGAGCTTCCTATCACTGCTACCACAAATTCCCACAAACTTTGGGGTTTAAAAAGAATGACAAAACGTTATCTCACAGGCAGCACGTGGTGGTGCACACCTGTAATCCCAGTGGCTCTGGAGGCTGAGGCAGGAGGATCGCAAGTGTAAAGCCAGCCTCAGCAAAATCGAGGCGCTAAGCAACTCAGTGAGACCCTGTCTCTAAATACAAAATAGGGCTGGGGCTCAGGGGTCGAGTGCCCCTGAGTTCAATCCCTGGATACAAAAAAAAAAAAAAAAAAAAAGTCGCCTCACAGTTCTGGAGTTTAGAGTAGAATGAGCTTTGGTGAGCTCAAGTCAAGCCCCAGGCTGCGGCGGTGCTTTCTGCAGGCTCTGGGGGACATGTCTTGTAGCTTTCCAGCTTGTCCAGGCCACCAACAGCCCTTGGCCCATGCCCCCTTCCTCCGCCTGCAGAGCCGGCAGTGGCTGACATGGCTCCCGGTTCACACTGACACCTTTTCTTTTGACACGCTTCTGAGTGGTTCTTCCTCTGTCGTTTCTAACGACTCTTGTAATGACATTGGGTCCACCTGGATTGTCCAGGTCATCTCCCCATCTCAGGATCCTTAATCACCTCTGCCGAGTCCCTTTTGCCACATGGGAGCCAGAGGCAGTACAGATTAGGACGTGGACATCCTTGGGGGCCGTGGCTCTGCCTGCCACAGGACAAGACAGAAGAGGTCAATTATCATGAAAAGGTGGCCCCCTGAGCTCCGTGAGAAGGGAGAGGAAGAGAAGAGGGATGAGAGATGTTGCTGGGCAGCGTGGGCCAGGCTTTGCTGCGGTGGGTCACTGTGTGTTCTAGGGCCAGAGCTCCTTTAGCTCATGTTGCCTGTCCATCAAGGATTGGGGGGGTGGCTGGGGCTCAGCGGTAGAGCGTTCGCCTAGCACGTGCCAGACCCTGGGTTCGATCCTCAGCACCACATATGAATAAATAAATAAATAAAGATTTTGTGTCCAACTACAACTAAAAAAAATAGGATTGGCAGGGTCCCTCTGCCCTGGGAGTCAGCCAGGGAACTTGGCTGAGAGAGGCTGGTTTACTCCACTCTGTTGCTATCCCTGAATGAACCCAGGGGTACTTAACCACCAAGCCACATCCCCAGCCCTTTTTATTTTTTTATTTTGAGACAGGATCTGGCTAAGCTACTTAGGGCCTAAGTTGCTGAAGCTGGCTTTCAACTTGTGATCCTCCTGCCTCAGCCTCCAGAGTCACTGGGATTACAGGCATGTGCCAGACTGGTAGTTTGCAAAGAATAAAGGCTCATGGTTCTGGAGGCCGAGAGGAACTGCACCTGTGGAGGACATCTTCGCCGCATCAGCAGGAGGCAGGGGACGTGGCATGGCGAGGCGGTGCTGGCCTGCTAGAGAGCTGGCTTTCAGAGCAAAGCCACTTCCTCCGTAACCTGTCCTGCATTAATTAATGAATGGATTAATGTCCTCATAAACCAGTCATCCCCCGCAAAGGTCACGCCTCTAAATGCCATTAACATGAATTTGGGGATTAAATTTCCAATCTGAAATTTGGGGAACGCAATCAAGTCTTTCGCAGAGGCCCCTACAGTGCACCTGTCACCATCACTGTCCACTCCCAGCCTGGGCAGCGTCCACCCAGAGGGGCCTGGCACTCTCACTCTCAGTAGTCAGCCAAGCAAGCCACAGGACCCAGCCTGAGTTCCACGGGGCGGGTAGGCCATCAGCACCAGAGCACCCAGGGAGGAGCTGAGCACCTTGGAGAGAAGAAATGGGGGAAGGCTGCTCATATCAGGGCCTTCTGATTCATTCATTCTAGGGATTGGACCCAGGGTTGCTCTACCACTGAGCTACGTCCCCAGCCCTTTGTATTTTGAGACAGTGTCTTGCTAAGTTGCTGAGGCTGGCCTCAAACTTGCCATCCTCCTGCCTCAGCCTCCTCACTGGGATTATAAATGTTTGCCACCACATCCAGCTAGTGCCTTCGTTTTAAAGGCACATAATATATCTGCAATGAAATCATCATTTCCGGGTCAGCTTACTCAGAGTCTGCCAACTTCATCAGGGCAAGAAATGTACCTCTCATGCAGAGCCACATCCCCAGCACTGAGCTGGCAGCACTGTGGGTACTCAGCATTGTAGTACCACAGCACCAGGTGTGTGCTCCGTCCTCAGAGTGGGCCCCGCCCCACAGGGTAAGGCCCAGTCCTAAACAAGCCTCTCCCCCAGACATCCACCAGCCACCTGTACTTCTGACCCACTGACTACAAATCCAGGGCTCTCATGACCTCTTCAGGTTCGAGAACTCTGGAAAGTGCTATACTCACAATCACAGTGTCATTAGAAAGAATACAGACCAGACTGGGCACAGTGGCGCACCCCTGTAATCCCAGAGGCTTGGAGGCTGGGGCAGGAGGATCAAGAGTTCAAAGCCAGCCTCAGCAACAGTGAGGCGCTAAGCAACTCAATGAGACCCTGTCTTTAAATGAAATACAAAATAGGGCTGGGGATGTGGCTCAGTGGTTGAATGCCTCTGAGTACCAAAAAAAAAAAAAAAAAAAAAAATCATGAACGCTGAGGGCTGGCTGTACCAAACCCTCATCCCCCAGGGAATCAGAGCAAATATCAATCACCTTCCTGGTGTACTGTGCTCACCAATAACAAGAGCCTCAAAAATTTTTTTTAATATTTATTTTTTAGTTTTAGATGGGCACAATATCTTTATTTTACATTTATGTGGTGCTGGGGATCGAACCTAGTGCCTCATGCATGGTGGGCAAGCACTCTACCACTGAGCCACAACCCCAGCCCCCCAAAATCCAAAATTGTTACCCAGGCTTCCTCTGGTAGACAGGTCCCCAACACTTCCCAGAGTTTCGCAAGTCTAGCTCAAATCCCCAGCTCTCTAATCACATAATTGGTCTTTCTAGTATGACCAGGCTCCCTCAGTATAAACTCAGGCGAGTCAAGGTGGCAACCATGAGTAACAATGACACTCCTAATACCTGGGAAATTCCAAGGTTTTATCTCCCAGGAACCAGGCGCAAGAGCCAGACACAGTCTCTATAATTCAGCAATGGTGAAGAAGGGAAGAGGTCAGGATCCATTGGTGCCATCATTCAGCCAATATCTGTGGAGCAGCTGCTAGGGCCAAACAGTTCTAGAAACTCAGAAGGGGTAAAACAGATATCCTACTGAGGACCTCCTGGAGCCCATGTCCCCTGGAAAAAAAACAACCATGAAGATCAGAAAGCCACATGGTGCGGTAGAAGGTGACAAGTATGAAGTAGGGGTGAGTAGGAACGCTGGGGGGCGGGGCGGTTTAAAAAAGGGGTGTGTGGAGAAGTGCGATGTTTAAAGGGTGTCGGCAAGCCCCTGCCTGTGAGTTAAGCAAACACCTGACTGAGATGGGGGTGCGCCACATAGGTGTCTGGGGCGAGGCCAAAACAGCCAGTGCAAAGGCCTAAGGCAGGAGTCTGCCCACCTGGCACACAGCAAGGAGGGCTGGTGTCGGAGAGGGACAGGAGGTGAGGTCAGAGGGGAGAGGGGACCAGATCCTGCGGTTCCAGGTGGACCATTGTTCTGAATGAGGGGAGCTACAGGGAGCTGACAGGTCTGCATGGACTTCTTTTGACTGCTTGGAGAGCCACTAGAGTCTCTGGGGCGGAAACAGGGAGCCTAGTGAGTGGTGTCCCAGGCCGGAGGTGGTAGCAGGACCCAGATAATGGCAGTCGCAGTGGTGAGAATTGGTAGAATTCCGGCGACATTTTGAAGGTGTAGCCAATCCATTTGTTGATGGGCCTGCCATTATGCAGTGAAAGGCGCAGAGGCGTCCAAAAAAGTGGACTCCAAGGCTTTGGGCCTGAGAACCTGGAGGGATGGAACTGCCGTCTACCTTGGGGCGTTGAAGAAGATTTTTGGGTGAGGAAGGAGGTTTCAGGGTGGCCTGCGCCTGGCTTGGTGTGCCTTGGGCTCGGCGCTGTGCACGCCGTCTAGGCGAAGGCGCCACCTGTCACCACCAGGGGGCGCCCTCTGCCTCGACCCGATTCCACCCCTGCTCGCGGTCTCCCCCCAAAATTTCCTTTCACTTTCGGTCTCTGGCTGTCAACCAGCTTAGCCCTTCCACACCCAGCTGGGGCAAGCCTAGTGCGTGAGGAGAATGGGACTCCAGGTCCCCGAGGGGCGGGGCTGGGGTCCCCGTTCCTGCGGCTGAGGGAGCATGGCATGGGGAACCCCGTTCCCGGGTCCCTGACCTGAGGAGGGTTTCGGGGACCGGACGTCGGGGTTCTTGGAAGGGGAGATGAGTTTTCAGTGTAACTGGGGCTCACGCAGGAAGCCTGGGGGAGTAGGAGGCGGAAACTTAGCCACATCAAGGACAGGAGGGAGGGGCGGGGAGGCGAAGGGGCGGGCGAGAAAGGGGCTGCGGGGTGCGTGTCCGAGACCAGCTCTTCTGTCCCTTCCAAGACCCGGCCACAGGCATGAGGGGCTCTCGGCAGAGATGATAGTGCTGGCGCCAGCCTGGAGCCCAATTGTGCGTATACCTGGGAGGAGGGGGCACCAGGTCAAGATGGGCGAGCTGAAGGGGAGGTGGGGAGGAGTTGGGGGAGGTGGACAGGTGTAGTAGGTGGCAGAGGTGGGGAGATGGGCAGAGGTATGAGGCCATGGGCAGAGGTGGGGAGATGGACAGTGGTGGGGAGATGGACAGAGGCGGGGAAAGAGGTAGGGAGGGGAGAGATGTGGAGGGAGGTGGAGATGGAGAGAGATGAGACAGGATGGATGAAAGTGGCCGGTTTCGGTTTTGGACAAGAGACAGGAGTAGGCCATGTTGGGGAGAGATGGGGACACATCAGACAAGATGCAGGGGAGAGAGGGGACGGGAAGATCTGGATGAGACCTGAAAAGGGGACAGACAAGAGAGGGTGGGGGAGGTGGAGCGGCGCTGACTGGCCCTTGGCCCCCCATAGTCCTCACTGCTGCTGCTGCTGCTGCTGAGCCCTGGCCTCCGGGGGACCCCCGACTGCTCCTTCAAGCACAGCCCCATCACATCCACTTTTGCAGCCACCATCCGCAAGCTGGTGAGCCTTCCTGGCAGGTCCCCTCCCCTGGGTCCCTGCTTGAGCTCAAAGTTCTGAGACTGGGTATCTGTCATCTCTCTCCCTTGGTCTCTGCCCCTTGCCCCAGGTCTCTGCCTTCCATCTCTGAGTCTCCATAGTTCTGTTTCTCCGGCTCTCAGCCAGGCCTAACCCTCTTTTCTCCTGCAGTCTGACTACCTGCTTCACGATTACCCAGTCACTGTGGCCTCCAACCTGCAGGACGTGAGTCATAGGTGGGATGGGCCTGGGACAGAGGTGGGGACCAGATGCAAGATTCTCCACCCTTCAGGGGCCAGACTAGTGAGCCAAGAGCCTCCCTCTCCCTCAGACCCAGGGGTCCAGGCCCAGCCTCCTCCCTCAGACCCAGGGTCTAGTTCCAGCCTCCTCCCTCAGAC